ATTAATATTTTGGGCTAATACAAATCTTATTGTCAAAAGAAGAGTTTAAAGAATCGATATAAATTTTGAGCAAGCTCATTTGAAGTCAGTTAATTGAGTATTTATTCAAAAAAGAGAGCACGCTTGCTTAACAGCACACTAATAGGGACAGTTACCCTACATATATACCCGCGCTCGGAACAGAGGAAGACGCTTGGTTTGACGACGTTATACGCGTTCCACGTTTAGCACAAATATATAGATGACACGCGCGCGTACATATATACATATATATTGACACTTTTTTTTTTTCTTCTTATTTTCTTTTTTATATTTTATAGATTATCCATCCGGCAATCTCGCGTGTATCGAAAAAATTGGCGAAGGAGAAATTGCTCCGCCACGCGTTGCAACACGTTCGGGGGGGAGGGGAAAGATATTTGTGCGGTGGAGTGCGTGGTTACACGTACGCACACGTACGTAAATAACACACTGCTTTGATAACGTAAAGGCTACACGCCTTAGATAAATACGTCGCACCGGGCTCGTTTAATCGTTGGCAAAAGACAAAAGAGAAAGACAAAGAAGTTACTCTCCGGATTTATTTTACAATGTCTTGCGTTGCGTCGAGGACGTTCGATTTTTTTATTTTTTTTTTATTTTTGAAGTTTTGTTTACGACAAACAGTTTTTTTTTTATAACGCGAGCGCGCGCACATGTGAAATTGTATAAAACTGAAAAAAGAACAGAAATGAGGCGCTGCGACGTACAATCAATAAGTGCAAAAGTTGAAAACAATAATTTAATATTAAAAAAATTACAATATTAATATTAACTTGACATTATATGTAATTTAATTAATGTAAATTATAAATATGCATATATTTCTTTTGTTCTTTAAGCGCGTCTGAAAATGTCAGACGACGACTTGCGAACGCAACGAACGTTTATTGCATAAACAAGACCGTTTGCTTTGCTGAAATTTTTTCTTGTCGCAACACAAGTTCAACTTCATTACAAAAATAAAGATTTATCAAATATGCGCGTTCAAGATAAAATACAGACGTGAATAAAGTATTTGTGATTTCCGGAGAGACGAATCGAGATACAAAAGTCGATACATCGTGTGTAAATCTGGATATTTGAAGTTCGTGCACAGAAATGTTATCGAACCCTGTGCGATGCGAAATACACGTCTTTGAGATAATTATGGACCCCGAGGCAAAAATGAACGTCTAGCAACGTCCAAGTATAGCAACATCCGTGATATATTTACAAGCGATTAAGGATCAGAAAAAAAAAAAAACTAGGCTCAAAGTTAACAACGGCGTCGATAAAATCAGTCATTTTTACGCCCGCCGCAGGCAGCGGAAAAAAAAAAGAGCCGACGACATGCTATGCTAATTTCTTCGTATAGAGACAAGTGATGTATATATTGTCTTCCACCTTTTCTCTTCCGTGTTAACTTTCCGTGCATGCTCGACGACGATCGGTCGCGCGTCTTGAAAGTCGTGAACAACAAAAATGTTTCAAACTAAAAAAAAAAAAAAAAAAAAGAAAAGAAAGAAAAATAAAAAAAAAACTCTATTGCAGAAGTTCGTGTAAGAATATTCTCGCTTACTTCTAATTTAGCGCCCTCGGTTCGTTTCCCTCCGATGTACGGTGGTTTTCTCTCCTTCACGTACTCGAATATCCTCTTCTCGTCCTTCATAAACTCTATTTTGTGCAGGTTATCGTCCTCCACGGTATGGTTGCAAAACAGGATGGCCGAGCTGCCGTTCGTTACGTATTGCGGTGCAATCAGTTGTACCTTCATGTGCTGCGCCAGTGTCACGTCTATAAAATTCGTGAAATCGCCAGTGCCGGGGAAAAATTCGAAATAAGATTTGTGTGTTAAAATTAGTTAGCAATATAGATAGGATGGAAATTTAAGGACTCTGCTACTTGTGCAATAAATATTGTGCTTAATACTCGCACACGCACACACATCACACAGAAGAGACGCGAATTACACCTCACACAAAATTTGAAATAATTTATGTAGCTGCGATTGAGAATTAATGAGATTTCTCTCCTATCTTCCACTGCTTAAATTTTATTTTTTAATAGAAAAGAGAAAAGAGGGGAAAACATTTAGTTTTCTATCCACAAATAGTATTTTGTTAAAATTTCAAATTAGAGTCATAATGTCGATAAGAGCTTAAACACGGTTGCAAATTCTTTTTTGATATGTGAAAAACGTATCGAACGTTTTGATTATTGAATGTGGTCTTCATCAACGCTAAAAATTAATTCATAGGTGTCCAAATTTGAACATTAGACAGTTCTGAGATAGTCAAAATCAAATAATGAAGATCTGTGTGTTAAGATTACTTGTCAATGGCATTAAAATAAAAAGTATTATATATATATATATATATATATATATATTTGTAATATGAAACTTGACAAATACCATGTACAAGTTTCAGACTTGATGATTCAATATGTATTGTGTATATATTGCTGAATAATTGAATAAATAAAGAGTGATAAAATTAATATTTCATGTGTTTTCTCTCTCTCTCTCTCAATATTCTATGGCTTATGACTTATGTAACATAGTTGAAATTGAGTAGATCAAGTTAACTCACTAGGAAATGTCGTAACCCACAAACCTATATTAGATCACATGTATATATAGGGTGTGCTTTACACATGCAACACACCGTCCAACCGTTTTTAAACTACGAGTTTGCTCCGGGAATGCAATAGAGAATAGATTTTTTGTTTGTTTGTTTTTTTTTTTGGTCAAAACAAGCTGTAGCTTTGTTGATCTGTGACCGTCGTTACACACAAATATATCTACAAAATATTTAGTAAAGCTACAGCAAAGTTCAATATTTCTGTATTACAGACCGGATTGTATGAAAAATCGGAAATTTGAGACAAAAGACACTTTGTGATTGTTATTAAGGCAATACGTTGTACAATTCCATTACAAATGTCACTGTATTTCGGGATCTCGCGCGAGGATTGACAGGTGCCAAGATTGATCGTTGAATTTTCATCAGCGAGCGACGCTGCGACGCGACGACGACATTGCAAGTCGCCGGATTATTAATCTAGCAACGGGAAGAATGGAGGACCTTCCGTCGACCGTAACTACTTGTGGCGGTCTGTCCTGTTGCTGGGAGGTGTTACTGTATCGATCAGAATGAAAGCGCGCGTTACCGCGCAGCACACGCACGGTTATATTATTTCGAGACGTTTCGACACAAGAGGCCTATTTTTGAGGTCGATCGCGTCGTCAGATAATGCTAATGTCACGCGATTTTCTATATACGCGCGTGTCCGCTGAGATATAGAGTTTCGCCCGCACAACGCCCGTTTCCTCAAACAGCGAACAAAAGTTTGAAAGACGTAAAAATATCTGAAAGACAACTAAAATAAAATTTAAACGTCTTTGAGACATCTTTCAAGATATCGAATTTAGAATTGTGCTTTCTGTCTGGGTTGTAACAAATTGTACATAGAAGGATCACAAATAACGCTACGTCATTTGAAACGAAAAAGAAAAATCTCTTCAAAAATTTTTCTTCAACAAAATATATACTTTATGATATTTATTTATTTCTTTTTGTTTTTAATAAACAAGTTCTAGCCAATAAAAATGTTTACTTTGTAAAAAGAAAGAGAAGATATATTTGATCAATATCATCTCTTTATATATAACAGTTTTTTGCTTCGTGCCGCAAATGTACGTTTAGTTCTCGCAGGAAATGCAAAATTTTGCTTCAAGCTCCAAAAAAAACTGCGTCACAAAAATATTAACTATCACATTTTTCGTTTAATTAATATAATTGCAATTAATATTCACATTTATTCACGAGAGAGATTTAAGTTTCAGTTTATTATTGCTGTGTTTGCAAATCACGGAAATGAAATAGAAGCGTTATCAAAGGTATAATCGGTTTTTCTTTCGTTCGACAAACTCCAAGCGGTTTTTGTGAGCGAGGAGAAAAAGTAGCCGTGGAATTATTTCCACGGCTTATTACGAGAACTGGGTAATAACTGGCCGATTCGAGAACCATTGTTAAGAGGACCTAGTTAAACGGCGGTGAATTTCGAGAAGGCAGAAATTTACAAACGATTAACAATTAAGATAACGCCGAGCCATTATCTGAAGCTTTTGTCTGTTTCGAATTTCGGGAAGCGGCGAATGTCGAGCATTTCCTTTGACACGTTTCACTTCGAGCAAAAGTACATACATATATCTAGTTTGGAGATATGGTATTCCGAGCAAAATTTCCGTTGTGAGCAAAAATCGTTTGACAAAAGCTCATTTGTGTGTGCGCGTTTGCGAGATCCAGACGTGTGACATTAAACGGTAGAATCGTTTGTTAAAAGTAAAAAACGACATGTAAAAAAAAAACAAAACGAACTCTCGCGGTTCCTACGCGCGCGCTTCGAACGACATTACATCGCTTTATATTTTTCTCCCTTTAACGTTTTTTTTTTTTTTTTTCACGCTCTTTTTCTAATATCGAATATGCTCCTCCGTGTTAACAATGCATACTGTTCCAGTCCCGCGGAAAGAAGTAGGTCAAATTAAGTCACGTCGCACGGTTTATTTATCACGAAACCCTCCATCTGTGATGTGATTTCTTGACGTTCCGTGACGCACGCCCATGCGATCAAAACAACTGCCGAGAAGTGTCCTAAAACACGTGACGGCACACAAACTCGAATTAACACACGTACTATATACGCGCAAATTAGTGAAATAAAAAAAAACAAAAAAATCAAAATTACGAAGTGTGACACTTCGAGCGTTCGAACGCGCATTGCGCGTGTGTAATTGTTCGCGCGTTACATTGACGCGTGTATAATGCCGTTGTGTGTGTTTACACATACGTGGGTCCAACAAACAAAGGAGACCATTCAAGATTTCGCGGTGAAAGAAACGCGTCGTAGCGACAGAACGTTTGCACGTACGTACGAACGATAGAAATTGCTCTCGCTTGCTAAGTTTCAGTTTTTTTTTTTTTTTTTTTTTTCATTTCAAGCACGTTACAATCGAGTGAAAATCTCGACGCGCGCGTGTCCTGATATCAAATAACAATAATCGAATCAGCAGAGTGATTTCGAACGAATCACTCGTTCGGGAAATTTAAATTTTGAATTTTACGTTCGCGTCTCGCTTGAGGAGAACGAATTCTCGTCGATTTTAATAATCGACCGAGAACATTTGTGTAAAAAATTTCTCTCGTCCTTACCGCGCGTTAAAGAACGACAATTCGAAACAAGAAGAGATGTGATCGAATCATCCGAGTTGCGGACCGCGACTCGTTCTCCGAAACTAATGCAATTTCTCGAACTCCTATTAGTCTCGCTCGACGACCGAGTTCTGTAACATTAAATACAAAACGACGAAGATTCGTTAACGACGTCGCGCGTTCGCGTTTATGCAAAAGCTCGGTCCCATGGAACGCGCATATTGCAGCGCGAAATTGTATTCTCGTGAAAAACACACGTCGGTACGCGCTGAACAATTAAACCGAGACGATGCGTCACACGCAATGTGAAACGCAAAATGTTTAATATTGTCGGAGTGACAATGGGCGTTCGGTTGTATATACGGGGAATATAACTGGCAGCCGCAAGCAGCCATCGGTCTGACTAAAACAATGCGATAACTTTCACAAACGCGAGAAAGAGACATATTGCGTCCATCCTCGGGATAAATTTTGCGCTACATTAGTTAACACATTGTATGCGTAGACTGGCGTGTCGTATAAATGTCGATGGTCTTTTAAACTAAATATTCAACGAAATACCTTGAACGACAGACAAACTGTCCAAGCGGAGAAAAACATCCTGATTCCGTCCGTACGCGGATTAAATTCTCACTTTGCTCTGTGTGACAATCGCATCGTCAGAAATAGTCCGCGCCCACGGTCCGAGATAAGCAAGATGATAGCCCGCATACAATGCGTTAACATATTTATATGTATATTCTGAAGCATTAGTGTGTGCGTAGTAGTAAAAGGAGTATCCGGAGTATTCCGCAAAATCGGTGACTTTCGCGTCGCGTTTCCACTGGCTTCAAAAAGGAGGACAAAATTATCGTCTATTTCTTTAAGTCTGTAAACGAGAAGAAAATTATTTTTTTTTTTAAATCGCAGTTTTTTTCCCCAATCTCTATGTGAGAAGTCAAATATCGTTCGTGAGCGGTTAAAAAAAAAAAAAATAAAGCAGTTCATCGCGCGTGTAACAGCCGGGAGATAAAATCCCTCGTTCGGCAGACAACATACGTCACACAAACAAAACATAAAAATACGGCACTTAATCGGCGATGATGGGGGAAGGGACGGGGAAGAAAGAAAGATGGCGTCCCCAATTAAATTTTCGCCCGGAAAAACTCTCGTCTTAAATTCGAATAAACAAACTTGGGTCTCAAGTCGAAACTCGATCGGGAAAGAGCCATCGGCCAAGGAGAGATGCTCCACACACGGATCGACGAGCTCTCACGCCCGACGAGGGGGAGAGAGAACGGCGTCCCGCAATAATCCACCGATTTGGACTGCGATAGATACCGGCCTGCGCAACCCATTTACCTCGGAGAATCATCTTCAGAAAAGAGAGAAATCCCCACCCCAAACACCGCACAATTATAACAGGTGAAATTAAGGATACGCGGAGACGAGAGGAGAGAGTGAACGATATATATGTGTTGATTTGTGTATAGAGAGAGAGAAAGAGAGAGAAAGAGAGAGAGACAGAGAGAGAGAGAGAGAGAAGAATTAAAACGAGCAAACGCACGCGCGCGCGCGCGCACGCACGCATCACTTACATGAAAATAATCGCAAAATATACAGGAGTAGAATTTTTCTCCAGTGATCGGCGGCCGAACGCTGCATTTTCTACGTGGGTCGGGTTTTGTTTTGTTTTGTTTTTTTGTTTTTTTTCGAGGCTTCTACAAACGTGCACGATTTAATATTTATATATCTGTTGCTCACTACGGTGGCGAGGCGAGGCGAGGCGAGGCGGAGGTTTGTACGAAGAGGAAAAAAAAAGAGCGTGCGTGGCTACGTTTTTGTACAAGAGCGTGCCTTTTAAAAAACTACGACGCGGACTTCATGTATGCCGGAGAGAGTCGGCGCTACAACTGAGCCGAGGGCGGCCGGAGGAGCAGGGTCTTTCGATCGTTCGACCGACCTGACCCCCCCACTTACCGAGGGGGTGCGTCGCGACGACGCGGCGTTGGGGTCAGTTATAGGGGTGGTCGCGCGACGCCCGCTCGAGGTGGAGTTCGCTGCTTACTCGATTTACTTGGAGGACGTTGAGGATCGACTGTCAGCATTGAACAATCACCTGATTATATAAATGTACAATATTAATTTAATATAATAAAATCAAATATGACAAACTGGTGAGAGAGAGTGAGATAGATAGATAGATAGAGAGAGAGAGAGAGAGAAGAAAGTGTTCTCAAATTGAATAAGGGATGGTTATTGAGGTTGTGCGTATGTTACCTTGGGATTATACAAAATCTCGTTAATTTTTCGGAGAGAGATGAATTTTTTACTAAAATTATGAAAAATAAAAATAATAACCTGCAAATTAGACCGATTGTTAATTAGCAAACATTTATTCTCTAATTTAAAAAAAAAACATGTTTTTATATATAATCGTTACTCACACAATTTTCAACCTATCTAGAATATAATATAAGCGATCTGTGTACATCAAGCTGATGCGTGAGCTCAAGAATTTGTACAAAAGACATCCTCCATAGACTATCACATATAGAGCTTTTGAAAATTTCGACCGGGGGTTGAATCGCTCCCGGAGCAAATGCTGCGATTGGTTGATTTGCTTTGGTTTTACTGTTTCTTTTTTTTTTTTTCCTGTTCCTCTGACTTAACCAAATATACCAACTGACCTAACCTCAAAAACAACTTCAAAATTCGTAAGACATTTCTGTCAGTCCGAGATCGCTAACGCGACGCCTTCCAATCAGCGGAAGCTATTGACAACCAATGAACCAACACGCTATCGAGAATTGTTCTCGAGAATCGATCGTAATTCTTCGATTATTGCATAGGGCGGCGCTGACGTAGCCTACGTTGAGGAAGCGCAACGGAGCGCAACGGATACGCACACGTGCGGTCTGCACAAAGTTTCGACGAAATCGACGCACTATGTTCTTTTTCACACTAATGGACATTGCGTTACACAGTGTCGCCTGCACGAAGTAAGAGTAAGGAGATCGAACTCCGTGATATAAAAGTGGTCCCGATTCTGACGCCTAATTGGGAGGGAATCCGCTCAAGGGAATAGTTTCTTACGGTTGGACGCCATTTGCAATTAGTAACGTAACCTAACTTTATCTGTCAGTT